TGCTGGCATCGTAGTCGGCATCATCAGTGTGTTTGGCCATTCTCCGCACCAAGTTACGAACTCGTCAAAGAGACAAGTGAAGTCGATCCCTCGACAAAAGCTATACCGAAAACTGTTACACTATCACTCCTCTTTCTGCTCTGGCCTATCTATCTACTCTTTACCCTCTTATCCCACTGCGGCCCTATCACAACTTCTCACATGTTTACATTCCACTCGTCAAAATGTGTGACCTTTTTTGGCAAATCTAGTGTGGCCTCATCATACCTGCTATCCACTTTCTTTTGATCGGCTGATTCCACTCGGGACTCCAATCCGAATCCCCTCATTGTCTCGTAGATCCGTTCCTTTTCTTTCTGGTTGACCGATTTTACTCCGTTCCAGTCCCAGTGTGAATTTCACTCCAGGCGTTTTTTTTTAGGGCCATAGAAGCACGTACAGCGCAGCTTCACTGGGAAGAGCAGCTAAGCTCTGATTTGCATGCTTGCAAATATCAGGCCTTCCCGTCACGGATCCTTTCCTTGATTAAACCCATATTATCTGAGCAAACTGTGAACGCCTATCTCCGGTCGCATGCGGCATCTTGTGTGGAGTTCTAGTACATTTTGGCCATAACGTCGAATTTCTGTGACGCTTTGCTTATACGTTTGCCTAGTTCCCTGACTGCCATGCCCCCAAAGTTGTAGTGGTTTATTTAAACGGTCATCACTCACTTACAGTGTCTTCGCTTGACTGCTGGAAATCCCTGCCCCCCCTCTTATCATAGTGATCTCTTTTCATCCTGTTAGCGATAGATCCTTGATCCAGGCGTCTCCTATTTCCTGGTCTTGCTCATTTCTTGTTTTCCCCAAGTTTGCATAAGCAGTAGGCAAAGTTATCGCTACCTCTACCTTACTCCAATCTCCTGTTTACTAGATTTTTATCCTCAAGGATGTCAATGGCCCTCATAATTTTCCGCTTCCTTCATCGTATACGTCCCTTCTTTATGTTGCCTTCCAATTGAT